CTAAAGCTATCTAGGCACTGATGTAGTTTTTCTACATATGATACCGTCAAATCCACTGCCTTTAACGAAACACCTGTTATTCGTTTATTCTTAACGCCAGATCATCGGCCAGATATTTAAATGAATATTAAAGTATATTACATTAAAGCAGAATAGCCATATTATGCATAATCATAACACATGTTATGCTAAGATGCTCCAGTCCTAATACTTTTCTCGGCCGATTACATAAATCTTCAGAGCAACATGAAGTGAGTTGTTCCCTGCTCAGAGGAAACAGCGATTATGAAAATTCCGTTTTACTCAACATTCCAGTCTGGCACGTCTTGAACTCGAAGCTGACCTCGAAGTCGCGATATAATATCATTTGTAAGAAGTCTGCTCATCCGTAATTCTACAATTTAAATATCGCTAAATAATTCACAAGGCCTGAAATGGTGCAACAAAAAGTTTCCTAAATTACGTCCCCATAAAGATTTATTCCTATGCAAAAGTTTCAAAAAACTTCTCGCTGTGTGATGTGCGCTAAAGAGTAGTTATACTTGCACCTAGTATAATTTTACATATGACGAGGGCCAAGATCTAATAATTTGACCAATAAGTCGTAATTGGCCTGTGTCTTCAGGAAAGTTAAGCCTGCTTAATAAAAAATGAAAATGTATGTATGTTGTATGCAATACGTCTGCTTTTCCGTTTGATTTGTTCCTATTACCAGCAAAAAGAAAGTGGTTTTGTGAACACAGATTTCAACATTAAGGTCCACGGAAAGTAGCTCAAAGATGAAATGTTCAAGGATACAAGACGATTCGGTGCAAGCCTTCTGAGGCATCGTTCCAATATGATTACATAGCTCAATACAACAAGGACGACGGCGTGGTTTTCTCTTGACAAAGAAAACTAGTTTAAAGAAGGGCTAATCCGATGGCAAAATAAAAATTTACATCTTAAGTGCTGTTCACTATTCATGTCTGCATATATCACCGAGTAAGTTTAGCACGGAGAGCGTCATCCGTCAGACCCGACTGAACGCCCACGTATGAGCACTAGTTTGTAATTGTCTCAAATCACCAACTGATTGATTGACACAGTTACGCAACTGACTGCTAATTAGTGCCATCTACACGCAATGGATAAGCAAGTCGTAAAAAACAACTAACTTTCAACAAAGCGTCAACTTTATTAATAATTACTTGTAAGTAAAAAAATTAACAAAGGAGGTCACGTCATGTTGAACAATCGCAGAAACCTGTTATTTACCTAAGGTGCGAAACATGTTAATCGTAACCATAAAAAATTAAGCGAAACGAAGCGTTGACTGAAGAAGCGATCACACTGATTTAGTAATGGCTACAGCGAAGACGACAAAAGGTTATTTTTAAAGTGACACATCGAAGTGATTATTGACGAATGGCACACACGGAAAATTGATCATTCACCGTAAAATCGCATATAAATTATGTATTTCAAACAGGAGAGAAAATAATGCAAAAGTTGGCACTTAACAATGATTCCTCAAATCTGTATCTGCATTTGTCATCGACCATATGCTCGTTACGAATTCATTGGTTATAGCAGATCGTATCCTGAGAAAGATCTGCATGTTTATCGCGCGGCATTACGGTACCTAACAAATGCGGAACGCACCTCTCTATAAGTAATAATATGCTAGCAAAATGTACTGGTTGATCATCAGATAAACGAACAGTAGCTTTGAATTTCGCAGTACCACTAAAAACAGGTGAATACGCTTTACGGAAGGCTTAGTTGTTGTCACTAATTGTGGTCCTGTGTCATTTAAATTTTAAACTGGGGATATTTTAAATGCGATCGAATTATTCTTCTAAATTAATTTGATCCTCATTCTGAGTTTGAGAATAAGCATACATAAGTATCAGCAACCTACATCCGGCTTCAAAATTGACTTTGAATTTTAAAGAAAAAGGTGTTGCATGCAAACTGGTAAAGAACATTTGCACATTAATAAGCGTAACTAAGAACAATGAGAGACTATGCATTGAAAATCAGGTTTCAGTTACTATGGCACTGCCGCGGCTCCTAATATTGTCCGTATCATTTCGGCAGACCTGATCATTCCATAGAATTTGTAGCACCTTCACTGGTGGAGTACATGTCACATCAGTCCAATTTCTTCAGCAGCCAACCTCCATTTGAACTCTGACTAAACTTAAGACATATGCATTTGTACGTTGAAGCATGTTAGCTAGGTTTACCTAATTTAAAATGGAGTTTTGTGGCGGATATTTCCAAGTAATTGTTAAATGATAGGAGCATCTCCATGGTATTTAGGCACGAGGGTTCATTCATATACATTGGTCATTTTGTTGCGTAAAGGAGCTTGTTGGATCTCAGCAATTACGTTTCTGAGGGTGGCCATTACTCAAGGGTATGGTTCCATCAAAACTGGTCACCCAGCGTAAGTAATCTGACAATTTCTTGATCATAAATGTGTCGTAACCATCCAAATTGGTTATTACGCTCGATAGCTCTTGAACAAATGCTATGCCAATGCGCTTTATGTGCAGAATGACGATAAAATCGGTCGAAGATGCGGGCAAAGTATTTGGATGCCAAAATTGAATGTGTTCTCTATTGCGAATTCCTTTTGCATCGACTGTGTGGCCATATTGGTTGGGTGGAGCGAGGCGTAAGTTAATAACGACCGATTATGTAAGACATAGGGCACCAGTGCATGCAGTGAAGACAAATTTCGAAAAATGTCGCACAACTTGATGTTAATCAGCAGGTCTCGCTAATCGTATAGAAATTGTCAACATTAAACGCAAAATTCTAATCCTACAGCCCAAACTTAATCCGTAAATAACTTTTATGCGTGTTGTCCTTTGTGTATATATTGGATCCGCTTA